CCTCCACCAAAATGTCACGGGTAGTGACCAATAAACAAGAAATAAACAGGAAGGAATAAACGTTTAATGTGGCGAACTTGTGCCAAGAATAAAAGAGTGCAAAAGATTATAATAATAGAGCGTCGCGGGCGTCGAAGTCGGGGTAGCAGCGGAGACGAACGCTGGGGCGAAAACTGACTGCGGCTCGCCACGCGGAGCCCCTTATGTACATGCGTGGTCTTCTGGAATAATCGGCGTAGAAACTTCGACGCGCAGAACATTCGGGCCTGGAACAAGCAACATGATTCTCGAATTCTCCAGAACACTAAGTTACACGAGTAAACACGTCGCTATCAGGATTCGAACCCTATCTTTTCGCGTGGGAGGCAGGCGCGATAACCATTAGGCCACGCGCGCGCTGCCTACTTGGCCAGCGCGCGCGGCAATATATCCTCGTGTGCATGGTGCTTGAGCTTAAGCATATTTTTTTTTATTCTACAAAGCCTGTCAAATCGCGAAAGACTAAAGCGCCGTCCACGGATATGCAACCGAGTAAGACCGAGAGAGACCAGACCGAGTTTTAAGCTTCTTCTGATGTCTTAAGATCAGCTCCGCTGCAGCGCATCCGGTCCTCAGATGTCGCAAGAGGCGTAAAAACCGGTCTGGTCCCTCTCGGTCTTAGTCAGTTGCATATGTGTGAACGGCACTTCACGTTTGAGGCTTGTCGCTGTCTGTTTCTGTTCGTCGCTGTAGTCAGACTCGGGCATAAGCCAGCACCCTGTACTGAACAATAAATATAAGGGACTGTATCGAACTTGATTCAATTTAGCAGCTTCATTTGCATGCCGACCACACAATAAATACAACAGCTCGCACAAAAATCACTGAGCAGCTTTATTATTCGTGAGGCACTAAATCCCAAACAAAGTCGCAACCAGTTTTTTCTGCTCACAGCACCGAAAATCGCAGATGTTGCTGGGCTATATTCCACAAAAACAACATTTGAATGACAACATAGGCTTCGTTGGGAGTAGTCTGTAAATTCTTCGTATAGCCAAGATTGAATGATTAAAGAACTCCCACCCTGGCCCACACTGCATTTACACCGTTTTGCCAAGCTTGACAGACCACTCAACTGCCAGCATGGCCCAGGCTGCATTTAGAACGTTTTGACAAGCTTGGCTGACCACGGAACTGCCAGCCTGGCCCAGGCCGTAATTCCAGCGGAGAGCCAGTCCATGGCTATACAGGTATACTGGTATACCAGGATCGGGCTGCCTAGCCCCATGGGGCAAAACAATCTAGGCCCAGTGAAACTTCCCCGGCTGCCCAGTCAGGTTCAAGCGTGAGCTGGTCATAATGTGCTGCTTGGGTTGAAGCTATCGAGTGACCGATCTGGCATTGCCTTAGAGCCGCGCCCATTCTTGTTTCAAGGAGCTTTTTGTGCACGAAAACAACCGAAATGGCCCACCCGCGGTGGGCGGTGCCGCTATCGCGCGCATACCTCGGGCGTCGGGTTTCGCCATCGCGCCTCTAGCCACTAGCGTTCCCCTTGCTGGGCAACGGGGAAGGAGAGGAACGCGATGCGCCATGAATTTGCCCCCCAACCTTGCAAACGCGCAAAAAAAAAAAAAAAAGAACGGAGGTTACTTTTTGTTGCTTGAGGCGGCTCGGCCAACGCTCGGCTGGCGTGTTGCTCATGGCGACGCGGTGGCTCTGCTTGCGTCTTTGTAGTTTGTCTTTCGTCGCTTCGCACCTTCTTTCGTTTCTTCTTGTTGTCATTTTACAACGGTGTCAGTGAAGTATTGTTGCAAATTTGCGAGGATGTCTACCAAGCTGACGAAGCTTCGGACGCCGATGACATGTCCAGAAGTTCTGCCGGTGATTAAGTTTTTGGCATCGCCCCGTGATTTAGGTGAGAGTGATGTAAATAAAGGTTTGCTTCTTTCTCTTGCCCAAATGTCCTCTGTTCTTAAAAATAAAAAAAAGGTCGACCTATTTTTAAATTAGTTGTTTTTATTCTCGGTCGGTCCAATAAATAGGGTTCGACTTATTTTCGAGTAAACACGGTAACTTCAATTTTTATTTTGGCTTACGTCGGACGTAAATCGAATGCTTGACAGTTACGTTGGGCGTAACTTTAATTTTTATTTCGGGGGACGTAACGTTAGACACTTCGTTACACTTAAGCAAAATAGGAGCTGCTGGCTCATCATATAAACCAACCATTTGTGTTTAATTAAAACGCATCACTGGCCTTAAAAAAAATACTGCTATCCTATAGGAATGTAGCGCTTCAGAAAAATTTGTTAATTTTTACTTTTAGTCCCTGGCCCACCAGATACAACACTGGCCTAAAGCAGTGTTCCGGATCTCCTTTCAAAAACACAGGCGGGTCGTCATTCAATCCAGGAGTCGGCGGCGTCTCATGGGCGTGTTGCTGGTGCTTCTTACTGGATGGTGCTACCGAGGGAAAAGTGGCCCTACTTGGGAAAGGCAAGTATGGCCGCCGTAAGTATACATATCGTTTTTACCTTTGCTCAAGTCCACTTTTAGGAAATGCACACTTCGCATGTGTGCATCTCTCAATGCTTCTACAGTCGGCTGTTATTATTTGGAGTGCTCCAACACTTTCAGTGCTAAATTCTTTAGGATCATACAAATGGGATGCAACACTAAACCACATATGCTCTCGGAACAAACAGTGCTGTGCTGAAGCACTGTGGAATCTACTCTAGCTTTAGAATGCAGCACAAAATAGTTTACGCCAAGTATAGTTACTTTTGTGACTCCGTTTTGCCAAAAGCTCTGCCAAAACAAACTCTACCCTATAGGTAGTGCAAAAGAACCTCGCGTGCCTAACCTGGAGAAGGGCATTTTTTTCATAGGTAATTGTTTTCTTAAACCAATACCTTCAGCCTCCTTGAGACGTTAACATCATATGTCACACGGAAAAACAGTAAACCCCTTAATGTTGGCAAACCTTTAATTTTCGTGGCCTTTAGTTTTGCGGAATTTACTGGCTGCGATTATGTCCCCTGTGACTGATTCGAGAAGAAATAGGGACGACGGTTTTACTGTACATCGGAGGAAAGAGGAAGTGACTTTTGTTTGTATGCAAGAGTAAAACTAACAACAACAATCATGGTGTCGACACTTTTTGAGCCTATCTGTGTCTATTGAATGATATCAATTTTATTTTACTCTGTTAAACACTGGTGCCTGTACATTGTGGGATGTCGTCTTCGACACGAGCAGTGGTTTTCCTCTGAAGCAGCCAGGGTGGACGCGTGCTGCAGCACAGCATAGTTCATTTGGAGATGGTACCGCAGTTTGAAGGATGGTTTGCACAATATGGGGGAATCGCAATTCAATGTTCTACCTCGGGCGCAGACAAGATTTGCTCATTCTAAATCATTTTGTCTAAAAATCTGGGATTAGCGGAGAATGTACCCTCATGGTTGGAAGGGCCAAACAAGCCTTGTGAGCGCTTCGTTTTCTAGCCTCTCAGTCCAGAACCCACTCACGCACCACATGTATAGATGTTCCGATAGGCGGAACACTTATTTGGAAAATGGTGAATGGCAACTGTTGTTATCTTTATAAGAATTCTGTACTATGGTCAAAGGTGGACTGCCTATTTGCAATACTTTTTCTCACTTAAAAATATGTCATACTAAAAATATGTAGTATAGCCGATGACAAAAAGAGAATGGCTGGGCGTCCTCCAGCACGTGTTTGTGCTTTTCACCCCGCTTTGGACAGATGTGCTTGCTCCAGGCTCATGAGGCGCTGAAATGTCATCGAAGGTGGCAGACGGGCTCGTGGTGAAACAACGGAGACTTCTCCCTGCCTTTCTCGTGGTGTCAGTGAGCTTGTACGTTTATGCTCTGACTTAGCTTAACCTGCACAGAGCTGAGTAGGATAGGCTTGGCGAGTACCCTTACTGCATATGCATTTGTGCAGCTGAGGCACTTTCTGAATCAAGAATATTGTGTATCTTACTTAAAAACACATCATTTGGGGGGTGCAAAATGAATTCTAAGGCATATTTTTGTTTGTATTGTCCTATTACGCATCGACTCCTTCAAGTTAATCCGGAGTCGACCCAGCCTCCTGAAAAATTTAATGCCTGCCAGGTAATTGATTTGCACTTAGTTAATACCGTAATTATTTGAATATCAGGCGAGGTTTTTTCCAAAATCTGTAATCTCAAAGTCATACCCCGCCTTATATTCGAAGCTCAGTATAGCAATATGATTTTTTTTTCTTGGGTCATTCAACGGCCCCCTCGCCTTATATTCGTGATCGCCTTATATTCGAATAAATACACTGTAAAAAATGGGCCGTCAAAATTACGGTAAGTTGACTGGCATGCTGGCTGCCAGCAACTTCTCGTAATTTGTACGGCTGACCGTAAATTCAAATTTACTGCCTGACTGTCATCTCCCAGTAAATTAAACGGTCGCAGTAAAAAAAGATACCGTTAATTTTACGGGGCGATGCTGAACAGATCGTAAACGAGATTTACTGACTGCCGGTAAGATCACGGCATGGTGGCTGTTTATTTGCCGGTCAACTGACTGCTAATTTAATGGTCACCGTAAAATTGTTGACCGTTTACTTCACTGCCAGTTGGCCATCGTAAGAAGTAAATTGAAGGTGCAAAATTCTGGCACAATGAAGCGCTAGCACTTCGTACAACACGTCAGAAAGTATGCAAAATGCGACAAAAGTAAGCATTGTCGGATTCTATCATCTTCCCACCGCATTGTACGACATGCTTAGCGTTTCAACGCACATGTTTTGCTGCTTCGATTTACTTCCTACTACTGGTCAACAGACAATGAATCAAACAGTGGGTCACGAAGTCTCCTTAGGTTAGTCATTTCGTGCCTGTAATATATGTGGCATGCTGTTTATTGTAATTGTAGTGTGGTCTTCATGTCTGCAATGCGATCGTTGTGTATGTAAATGCAAATGCAAGAAAGCCAGAACACAGCATAAATTATGTGTAGGATAGAAATAAAAACAGAACATTTATTTACTTGGATGATGAGGACCCAGGTCCATATGCCCTCTGATCTGGAATAGAAAGAAACCAGTTATCAATATGACATATATAAATGTGCCAAAATAGAAGCAATTTAACAGATATGTTGTATAATGCTAGCCGCGCTTTATTCACTGTGCAAAGAAACTAATGATGCTGATATTTCTTACAATGTTTGAAAGAAGCTTCATGTGACAACTGAACCCCCCTCTAGCTTAGCTTCTCCTAATCAAGTCAAACTTCATTATATCTCAGTAGCTATATATCAGCCATGTAGTACATGTATTCTGGTTTTCTCGAATATCATTTCAGTATCCCAGCACAGCCCCTTTATACCTGGGAAAATGAATGAGAGGATATGCACAAAGTTTGGCAGAGAGTGCTGCACAAAAATACAGCTATTTTATGGGAAAGTCTACTATTCACTTACTAGACATTTTTCAGCTTAAGAGCTGAGTGAGTTTGTTTTCAAAATCAGGGGTTGATATTAATTAAACAGCACACATAGAAATTTACTCCTCCTCTTCATCGATAGTTAAGCTGGTTGGCTCTTGTTGGCACTAACATAGAACTAGTCTTTCCCCCCCCCCCCAAAGACTGCAATTCGCTTGCCACCGGGCAGTAATGAAAAGGCATCATTAATCTTTCTCTGACATGTTCACACCATAAGAGATATGAATAGTCGTGGCCGGTTGCATTAGGGCGAGCTGCGAACGTCAGGCTTAGCTGGCAATGGAATCTCTGTGCACATTGCCTAGTGTCCCTTCAGATAAACAAATGGTTAAAGCAGTGTGCTCAGCACTTCAATTTGAGATGATATCCAAAATAAACATGGGCAGCTTGTGATCCAGCTGCCACTGACATGCTTCTCATTTCATCGACCTACATTTGCCATGTATAAGATGCACTATACCTAGAGTGGCATCATTTCTCTTAAAATATATGACTGCATGCTAACCATGTCTCATTTCTAGCATCACATAGACATTTTTTCATGTAATTATAGGCAGCGTAGTAAAGAAATGCTTGAGTTTTAAGTGAGGCTCGGTAAGTTATGTTTCAACCCAATAGTGTTAATGCAGCAAAAGAACCGGCGTCCTGCGTCGGCATGTCGAGAAATCCCCTCGATGTTTTGCGCCACGATCCCTTGTGCATGCAAGGGATCATAGGATTTCCCCCCTCCCCACTGCTGCCCTCCCTGCCCTTGCCCCCACCTCCCCTCTCCTCCTCCATCCCTTGCCCTCCCGCTATCGTGTCATACATTAAAGTCGAGCATAAGTTTCCCCTTATTTTTTAGAGCGCAGCTCTTAGGGGCCCGTTCACGGCTTGAGCGGCGTCGGCGTCGGCGTAACCAAGGTCACCCCAAGTTCACGCGACCCTCAAGGTCATCCCAAGGTCACCCCAAGGTCACGTGACCCCTCCCCCAGGGTCACGTGACCTTGGGTCACGTGACACCCAAGGTCACGTGACCCCCCCGAGGTCACGTGACCCCCCCCCGAGGTCACGTGACCACCCGCCAGGGTCACGTGACCTCCCCGATGACGTCATCGTCACTGATGACGTCACCGGCATCCGCATCGTCATCGTCATCATCACTGATGACGTCATCAGTGACGTCACTGATGACCTCACCGGCATCCGCATCGTCATCGTCATCATCACTGATGACGTCATCAGTTACGTCACTGATGACGTCACCGGCATCCACATCGTCATCATCATCATCACTGATGACGTCATCAGTGACGTCACTGATGACATCATCAGGATCGTCACGTGACCCCCAAGGTCACGTGACCCCCCCAGGTCACTTCACCCCCCCGTACCCTTCCCTCCTCCTCCTCAAGAGCTGCGCTCTAATTCGGTGTTATAGGGAGTTGTAAACGGCTTTCACTTTTTTTTAAAGGCCGTTAAGTACCTTCCGTGTAAAAATGTGCACGAAGTTCTGCAACTAGAAAAGGTGCAATTCATTGCACCTTATGTTGAAGACGCGCCAATCCTAAGTTGCCCAGAGGACATTGACAACAGTCACTCAAAGCGCTTGGCTGGTTTAATTTGCAACAAGTTCCTCAGAATACTTCTGATTAACCATGCAAAGGCGGTCACGGGCAGAAAGGAACAATCAGCTGGATATGTGCACAAGCCCTCGAGGAAGCACTTTGGGCTGTAATATGCACTGTGCGAAAATTGTAGACACCCTCGTCTAGAGCAGCCGACCGATTTCATGTGCGACCTATGAAATGATGATGCAGACCACGGCAATAGATAGATTGGGCCTGTTTACATTTCACAAGAGTGTACGAATTATTTATTATTTAAAGATCCTCCACGTAGAAAAGGTCCGTCTCCTCCTGTTCTTGAGTTGCAACAGAAGTCCTGGAGATAAAGACGAGTATAGTTTTTCCGCACTTGCATTTACTGTCTCTACTTACTACTTTTTTTTCCACACAAGCAGCTGGGTGCTCGATTATTATCATACTCACCAAATTTAGACCCAAGTGCCATTGCTTATGGCTGCTGAAATCTTCCTGGTGCCAAGACCTTGTGTTGAATGAGCCCGAGCCCCATGTTGCATGCCTCGTTCCCACATAAGATGACCGACCTTCAACAGACATATTCAAACAGAACAGAATGAGTAGAAAACCACAGACTGAAAAAATCAAGCAAAGTAACTCCAAGCTAGTGCTGATGTGATGTAAACGGTCAGAGTAATTTCGGAGCACCTTCTGGGCCAGCCAAAAATATATTTTCAAGCAACAAAAGGAAGTTTTGGATTTCGAAAGCACACTTCCTATTCATTCTGTTGTGAATACTGCATTAAGATACATCTGTTTGCCTGTCAAAACTAGAAGACAATGCCTGCTTTCCTTTCCCACCCCTGTGTTACCACTAGTGTCAAGTTCAGGGTCAAAAATTATGTAATATAGTTTTTCACAACAATTGCATTTAACAAAGATTTTTATGTTTATTCTAACAGGAAATTTAACTAGTAATATATCCGTTCAAGAAATATTACTACTTGATATGCCCGCACTGTTATGAACAATACTAACATCTCCATCATTTAATCCATGCACTAAATAATATACATGTTCAAATTTGCGGGCCATGTGAGTCCGTGAACTTTTTAGGAGACCCTGTACTAGCAAACGACTTGGTTTTTGAAATCTTACACCAACTTAGAATTTTCCGATTATCATTTCTCAACTTCCCTGTCTATTCAAAGACATGTGGACCATATGTTTAAATGACAACTTTCCTTCCCAAGCATGAGCCTCTGCTACAGCGAGACCAGATATGCAGAATCAGTGTGAAACCTGTGGGTACCACCTCTTCGTGGTGCACAAGTGTATGGTTAAGAGTGCACCCAATGGTGGAGGCTTACTAGATTGGACAAACCACACATAATGCCAAAAATTCCCAAACTTGAAAGCTCAGCATCAATTTTACAAAATTAAAATTGAATAGTATATTGCCCAGAGCAGCAATAAATTTTGATTATTGGCTCAAGCCCACTCTGATGGTCCAGCCATGAAGCAGGGTCTTATTCATTGCTTTCTATAATAATGGGATGAAGTATTGTGTGGTGAAATGTAGGCATGAGCAGTATCACAAAAATGTAAGAAAAAATTTAGGCAAGCTTGATTATGCTCACAAAAGCTATGAAAGGTCAGAATGTGTTGGGCTCACTCAGATGTATGGTGTGTGTGGTTATGTGACCATATGACTATGACCGATTCACTATTTGCAGTATGGTCAGGTGACCAGACACTGGTGATGGTTATGTGATCCCATTATTCCCAGAATGGTAACAAGCTGGGTGGGATTCTGCGAACAATGATGCACAAGATGAGCGCAAAAGACGAACACAGAAAGAATGAGACAGGACAGAGCACTACTACAACTGACATTTTATGAGAGGGAAGAGGAAGACAAAGACAACATTGACGCTAAAATAACAGGAAGAGGAAAAAAATACAATAAAGAAAAAGTAAAACCACAAAAAAATGTATCACAAAAAGATAATAAAAACTAATAAGAAAAAATCTTAAGTGATAAACTAATGAAAATAAAAATAAAATTAAAAATTAAGGAGTCTTTTGCACTACTTTGGTGTTTTATGTTTATTAACTAGGCCATAAAATAATTTTGGAACAATGGCGACTAGATGACATGGGTCAAGGCTAAGTGACCAGCATTTATTCGCTATTTGCATCTGTCAGTGTGACATGTCAGTCCGTCCAGGGTGTTAGTCACTGGCCTTTGCCATGAAACTCGACTGGCAAAACACATTATTTGTTGAAATCTGACATCCCCTTTTCACAGCATTAAAGAATTCAGGCAACTTTACTCAAACGTTTCATAGATTATACACTCATTCGCCAGAATCAATGAAGAACCATTATTGTAAACTACCTCATCACATCCCCTCCCAGACGGGTAACAGTTGCAAAATTGCCTTCAATATTTCACGAACTAACCTTTCCAGGTACCTGTCTACAGCCGGAAATTTTGCTCTAAAATAAGCTGTGTGATATCATTGTTTTACTATCCAGCAGAGATAATTTGATAAAGGTGCCGACTCACGAGAAGTACTAATCAAGCGCCAAATTCATTTTTTTTTTGCAAAAATTGAAGTGAAAGTTTTCTTTTGTAAATCCATCACTGGCAGACAAACTCACTATACCAGTGAGTAATGCTTGTAGTTTGCTACGACAGTGGTCTGTTACAAAACCTTCACATACTCTCCGTTAGTGATAAATGTATCCCTGCATCTATCTATCTCTGAGAATTATTCTTCCTCTCTAGTGACAGTGGACCCTTACGCTCATTGAATTATTTCACCTTCTTCTGCTTCTCTTCAAAATGAGTCTCATGTCCGCTTCCCATTTATTAAGTGAACACTGTAGTGAATCATACTTACAGCCTCACACATTCCACTCCAGCTCTGCTATTTTCTTGACCAGGTTAAATACTTTCTTGTTCACTTCCGACTTGGAGCGCTTGGCTCTGGTGCCACGGTCAGGGTTCATGCTCAGGAAACTTCTCCAATAAGCATCAGTGCCAAAAAAGAAACATTTCATCCAAGTTGGTAACCTGAAAAGTTAGTCAATTTAGTCATATGTGTTACATATGTATACATGACCGAAGGGAGAGACTAGAAGAAAGTCAAATATTTAGTAAAGAAAATATCAGGAGGGACCAAACTGCGGCTCCTGAGCCGCATGCATCTCTTCATGCCCCCCTATTGCAGCTCTCCTAACCTGAGGACCCACAAGTTATAATAGGTGGGGCCAAACACTAAGCTTGTATACAAAAACGTTACAGTGAGAAGCGGGAGCATATCAAAATATGCAATATTGCTGGAGTTGTTTCGTTGTAGATGGGCACGTTAAAATGACATCTAATGGTCAGAAGGGGCAAATCAGTTTGAAAGATAAGCTCTATTTTTTATTTTCTTGTTTATTTCACCTTTACATGCCAGGTTGAGGTTGTGTTAGCTTTGTGCATAAATGTTTACAAAAATTTATTTCTGAGCTTTGTTATTACAATGCAGTCCTGCTGCCTGATGAAATACCAAAACTACTGGCCTATGCATACATGCAATTGAAGCTGTTTGACTCCGCTCGATCTGTGGACTCTGCTCGGGTGCAATTTCAATAAAAAGTACAGCATTGGTGCAGGATGTGGGAGCTATAGTTGTTTGGAGCTGGCGGAAGCAATTGGGACAGCTTTCCAAGCAGCGAGATATGTGCTCTTCTTTTTCACCAATGAGAAGGAAGGTACCAACTGTGGCTCCATGTCTTTCATGAGAGTAAATGTGCAAGGTGTTTGCTTTATTTCAATAGGAAAAATAAGCCTGGATATGATATAGATAAAAAGTATGGAGTCCAACTGGGCATCCACATACATTCCCAAAATCACAGAACAGGAAATTACCTCTGAAGGAACTCAAGGGTTGATGACAGGCCTTCAGCGTAGCAGATGTTAAAGCAATAGTGACTCGCGAAGAGTGCAGCCTATGCCGTAGGGACGTCTGGTATCTTCTGAACCATGAGCCTGCATCAATGCTGAGTGCGTACTCGTGGGCAGTCCAAAGATCATCCCCTACAAAAGTTTTAAAAAATGAGAAAATAGTAAACATTCAGATAAGTAGAGTTGCTGACAAGGCATTGGAACTATGGGGCTGGGCTGCACCTCCAGATCGTGGACATTTCAAATAATTGTAAAACAAAATGGGAGAAGGGAAGGGGCCCAGCTTCGTCCCTCCCACCCTCACTGCAGGTTTCCCCCCACATTCCAAACACTTACAACATTACTTGTTGCCGACAGGAGATGAGATCCGTGGCTCGATTTGCCTTCCCTCCACTATGAGTGAGCTTGCTTGAGTGTAGGACAGTCATAATTCTACTACAGAAAGGGAGACGATGGGCTGTGAAGGCACCTAGGCAAATGTTCACTGGTTAGTGGAGGGGAGACATGTGCCACCAAAACTGAACAGGAACCTCGAAGGCCCCTCGCTCTCCAGTTGCACATGACCACCGCATTCGCATGGATACTTGCTGTATCGTTAGATCTAGCACATACTTCTATTGATTGCAAAGAAATCGAATGATTTGTCACTTCTAGCAACTTCGGAAATGTGTGTTGTCGCTATGGGCTATAGGTAGCCATTGTAGATTTCATGAATTGTCTGACAGACATGTGAAACACTTAAAATGATTTGTATTTGATTTAAACTCAGAGACCTGCTTTATATTTAGATATCAGTGTTTTTAGGTTTTCTTTGTTCTAGGATTTGACATACTTTTTTTCGTTTATTTGGAAATTTATTTATTTATTTATTTGAAATACTGTGGACGTGTCGTTCTACACAGGAGGGGAAAAACAACACACAGAAATAACTCAATCATGCACTCACCATGTGAGGCGAGCAATTGACAACTTGCTCAGGCAGGGTGTTCCACTCAATAATAGTCCGACAAAAGAAAGAGTATTTAAATACATCATTTCTGTACTGGTAGGCTTTAGTATTGCTTGTTCTTTTGGAGCGTGATGTTGAAGGTAAAAGGTACACTTCAGAGTTAATCTTTGTCAAGCCATTAGCAACCGCGTATAATTCCTTTAATCTACACACTTTCCTTCTTTTCTCTAAACAATCTAGCCGCACTTCATTTCGCATTTCCGTAACTAACTCGGTGCGCCTATACTCAGAAAAAAAAAACCGAAGTGCCAGATTCTGTATCCGTTCAATTTGCGCAACCTGCTGCTTCCTGTATGGTTCCCATACGCACCCCGCGTATTCCAAGATCGGACATACATGTTCAGTTTTATTGGCGAACAATTTTAGAAATGAAAGCTTACCGGTTTTTTTTTGGTGAATACCCATTGACTACTTCCATTTTTCAATGAGGTCGCTCCAAAACGCAGTACATTAGACAGATATCTGAATTATATATCCGCAGCAATACTTCCCTACATGACAAACATAACCTTGGTTAGCACTTTGTAAGGATGACGACAAATTCTAAACCGTGAAATTCATAAGCGTAACTATTGGCACCTTTCTGCTCTTCATATCTATAGGATTATCAAAACTGCTTCCCACTAACCAGAGAGAAGCTTGAGGAGGTGTTAAAACAGCTCCCCTCCCCATTAAAAATGAAACAGCGGAAATCAAAGGGCGTGACAAACAACAAAAAACTCCAAATCTGGCTTTTAGAAGACGACACCAACTTGATGCACAGGGACTGAGCCACAAAATGAATGCAGATTGCATCCACGACAAACCTAAGTACTCCCTAAAGAGTATTGTCCTGCAGACCCTCCACCAACAGAACACTTCACAGTTACGTAGGTGAGATAGTCGACTACTCAGTCAAGTGCGACGACATATCCCGTCTCCTCTTGGCTTGCAATAGTGGCCTGAAATACTGACCTTTCTCGTTTAAAACTGAATTTACAAAAATTAAGTTGCCACTCTTACTGCCTTAAACCGAAAACGCCAAACAGCATTTTTATTTATATTCTATTTCTGCATTAATAACAAGTTGTAACATTAGAACTTGAACTTCTGGAACTGAGTTCGGGGAAAGGGCAAATTTGTAGTACATATAATGATGCAATGTAGTCATAAACATACCCAGTGCTATAATGGAAAAAGTGGAAGGTCCTCCTCGAGTTCAGCAGCAGTTAGGAATGGCTGTAAAAATTGAAAGACGCATGGTTATGTTGAAACAAATCCCCACTTCCACAACCACTAATTCTTATAAGGCCACTGAAAACAATGGGCACTAAAATGACAGAAGAGACCAGAAGGGACGAACAAGAAGGGCCATGCACAGAAGTTCCCTCACTGGGATAGCTTCGGAGTTAATGTCTCTACGTTGCAATGAATATGTTGAACGCATGAGCGTAAGGAATTCAACGGTGGTGGCTGGCTTTTCACGAAACATTGCCTGCAATCTCTCTCTGTCTCTGTTCATCTCCAGCTCTTCCTCAGGTGTTTAATCTGGGGAACTGCTCTGACATAATTGTTTTTATACAGTCTGGTTGAGACACGCACGTAAACAAAATAAATTTATGCGAAAATATTTTTAGAGCAATATTCATCGCGTGATATTTATTTTAATTTCTGCGGGCAAAGTTCATGACATCGAAAAATAGTCATACATTCTTTCCACCTCAACGAGATGGTCATACACTCTCTCCACCCCAACGTCAAGGCTTAAAAAATAAAATGCAAAGCCGATCAACCTCTCCTTCACGTCCCTGAAATGCTGAGAAAAAGCGAGTGAAAAGGAGGTGACTATCAAATAAATTGCGTCTCACGCCATCAATATTGCTCTAAAGAATATTTTTTCTTTTCGCGTAAAATTACTTTTTTGACACATGCGCCCTAACCACGCTGTCTAAAAAATTTTGTTTTAGTGGTTTTTTTAAGACATTCTGGACTTAGGAATGATAAATTGTCATCGTTGTGGTTAAACAATTTTTAATCAGATATTCCTCCTCGCAAAACCACAAACTCTGACAATGTGCCATTGTGGATAGCATTCAGTGCTTAGCAATTTGCTTTAGGAAAAAAAAAATAGGTTGAATGCAACATGCATTGGCAGGTAACAATTTTAGGTTATTGTGCGAAGGAAAGAAGAAATGGTCCAAGAAGTCAAGAGTGCTTAAGATTGTAGATACTGTCAAAATGATTAAGCTCTCAAAATAGCTGTATGCAACAAGAAAAGCAACAAATGCTTTACTACATTTTGGGTGCAGTGCTAGAAAGAACTCTGACCTGGAGTAGTTCAGGCTTGAAAAGAAAATGCTACCACTCACATCTTTCCTCAGAATGAGGCAGTCCCTCTCTTCGCCGAACCATGTCACAAGTAGTATCATCAGTGCCAAACACCCAGCTTCTGGACTTGCATTGTCTCCAGCTTTTGCAATGTATTCCATTAGCTTGGTATACTCATTTTCTGTCCTCTTGTCCAGTCTCATTAGTTTGAGAACTACATCCTTCTTCTTTTGCAGCGACTCCCTTAGTCTGTCTTGAATATCAAAACTGCATAGAGCACTAAAGTGACAGAAGAGACCAGAAGGGACGAACAAGAAGGGCAATGCACACAACAGTTCTCTCATCGGCATCACTTCAGAGTTGATGTCCCTGCGTTGCAATGGATATGTTGATCGCATGAGCTTAACGACTTCATCGGTGTTGGCCGACCTTTCACGAAACATTGCCTGCAATCTCTCTTTGTCGCTGTTCATTTCCAGCTCTTCCTCAAGTGTGTAACCTGGGGAACTGCTCTGACACCCGTAGCTACACTCTTTCCTCTGTTTTCGATTTGTGTGCGTCGGCACTGCTGTCTTTTCCGTGTCTTCACGTCTCACGTTTTCCACCCTGGCAAGAAGCTGGTTCAGTAGAGAATCATGTCCTGTTCGAACCACTGTTCCATCCAAGA